GTCCCCCGCACCCCTGCCCTGCATGCAGGGGTGTGGTTGCATGCGTGCGAGCACCGTTGGTGTGACCCTGGGAGCGTGTGGGCACATGTGGATGGCGCTGTGTGACCCAGGGCCACGTGCACACGCGTGCACCGTGAGTGCGAGCCTCGGCGACGCCCCCTTCCTGGGGCTCCTGAGATTATAAGGAACAGAAATTCACATGAGCCCCTTCTCTGGGTCACTTGAGACGGGGAAACTACAATTCTGCAGAACCCAGCGGTTCATGGTGGAGGTTTGCTGCCTTGGAGGTTCGTCGGTGGAGGTTCACCACTTGGGGGTTCTCCGCCTTGCAAGCCGGGTGTCGCTGCCTCAGAGGGTCCCCCCGGTGTCAGTGGGTCTCCAGCCCAGGAGCCGAAGGCCCAGAGAAGTTGCTGCGCGGCCCCGACAGCCCAGACCAGGTGGAGCTGAAGAGAACGGGCGCTGGGTCTCCCGGGGGAGAAGCAAACGGATCGCCCCACCTGACCTGGACCAGAGCGGACCCGTACCCAGAGCTGGGGCCCTCCCAGCTGGGGGCTTCAGTGCGCCCCTTCTCAGCTCTGCTCAGTGGGCTTCTTCAAGCCCCTCTCCTTGGAGGAAGGAAGAGATTTGAGGGGGTAGTGGGGCCCCTAGTACAGGCACCCTCACTTGTCCAGACCCCACTGAGAGCCCTGTACCAGATATTTACAAGCTTGGGGTCCTTTCCCAGTGCTGCAAAAGCTTCAGCCCTGTGGGAGAGCCCAACCCTGGGTGTCGAGTTTGGGCTCGGGGGAACTCAAGCTGTTCTCAGTGGAGGGGTGGCGTCTGTCCCCCCACCCCCGCTCCCCAGCCTTCCCTGCCCCCGCTCGGCTCCCCCCAGGCCTGGGGCAGATGTCTGAGCTGCGTTGTCCAAGCCAGTGCAGAGGAAGTGACTTGTGCCTGCCCCAAGCCCCAGCCGGCGCTGGCTTCTGCTTCTCCTGCAGACTGGCACTGGTGCTGCTGCCCTCAGAACTGGGTGTGGGTGCCACGCCACAGGGGGCACAGCCTGCCCTCACCAGCGCCAGCTGGCTCTGGACGCAAGGGCGCGCTCCTGAGACCGCAGTCCCCGCCAGGTTAAATTGCCGACTGGACTCCACAGGGACAATGCTGAAACCTCCGGGGAAGTCAAGACCCTGGAAACCTGGAGAGCAGCTGCCGCCTGTGCAACATCAGCTGGGGTTCTGCTCACTCCCAACCCCCACCCCCGTGACTTCTTCCCCTCCTGCCCCCTCCCCCCACCCATGCCAAGGTTGTTCAGCTCAATGCAAACCCCAGGCAGTAGGGTCATCTGCAGCTGGGGTTGCAGACACGAGCTGGGCTGCATTACAAAACCAGACTGTTCCTTTCAGGGAGATAAAGTGTGAGACGCAGGCAGCGCTACCCCTACAGGCCTCGAGGTGATCACGTCTAACACGAAGGTGCGTCCGCCTGCACGCAGAGAGGCTGCCCCATAGATGAAGCCAGCCGCACTGACCGCTCGGGAAGAGATGACCTGGAAGCCCGACTCCTCAAGAAGGATGGAGTTAAGGCTCTGGAGAGCCAGCTCACGCTTCCTTGGCAAACGCACCCAGGACTCTGGCCTCCCAAGCTGTGCGGTCTTTCCAGAACCCTGCTTGTGATGGATGGAGGCTCGCCTGCCGAGAGGCCGGCTTCCCTGGGTCTCCCCCTTTTTTTTTTAATTCTAGGTACACCATTTTATTTTTAAGATTTATTTATTTATTTATTCATACAGAATTGGGGTACAGGCCAGAGATGCAGAGGGTGAGAGGATTCCCCAGAGACAGAGCGGGGAGCAGAACAGGCCGACCGACGAAGTCCCCTGCTGAGGGGAGCCGCGGGCAGGCCAGGAGAGGTCTGCGGTGCCCTGTGGGTCACCTCTGGGCCAGGCGGGGATCAAACTCATGCGGAAGTGGCTGAAGCCTCCTAGTGCTGTGCTTTAGCCTGCTGCGCCACCAGGGAGGGCCCTCCCTGGGTCTCTCGGGCCCTGGGGAGAAGGTTCCTGAAGGCTGCCTCCCCAGGGGCTAAAACCTCACTTGACAAGTAGCAGGTAGGTCTTCTTCTCCCCGGGCTGTCAGCGCCACTGAGAGTCTGCTTCCCACGCCACACACCAGTCTCAAATCACAAGTGTCCCCAAATACTCTCCCCAAACCCTTTCATTTCCCCTGCACCCCCCGACAGGTCACTCCCTTCCACAGCAGATTGTGCTCGCAGTTAACATCATCAGCATGCTGAATGCTACCACCCATCCAGAGGGAAAGCGTCTTCTTCCCACCCTTTGGAGAAGGAAATCAAGGCCCAGAGAAGCCGGGAATTGTCCAACGGGCCTCCGCCGGCAGCGCCAGGATTCAGCCCAGGCCTGGCGCCAGGGGCCACCCTGGCTCCTGCTGCCGCGCTGACCCTGGCGTGAAGGTCAAGGAGGCAGGGCACCGGCAGCTGTCCTGAAGCACCCCATGCCGTTCCTCCCGCAACCCCCACCTCCCCTCCTGGCAAAGAATGCACGGCCCTGCTGGAAGCTGAGTTAAGGAAGCAAGAAACTACGCCCAGCCCCCCATTGTCAGGGCCTAACACCCCTCCTGCACTCTCTGCAGGATGGAGTCCAGGACTAGCGGACCAACGGACCGGACCGGGGTTCTAAACCCCCCCGGGGGCGAGCGAGCGAGAATGTTCCCAAACTATTTCAGTGTCCTATCAGGCTAGAAATGACCCAAGCGAACGTTTCTGGTTCTCCTACTGTGACAAACACCATCTTGCCCAGCCGGAAGGCCAGTCTGCACGCTGGGTTCTCAGACGTTCTAAGCCAAAATGTGGCGATGTAGGGACCGCCACCCTGGCGCGGGCTCCCGACCGACCACAGCGTCCCCACTCTCCCTCCCGCACCGCACCCCCTCGGGTCCACTCCCACGGCCTCCTGCTGAGGTCACCCACCTCCACCTCCCAGCTCTGTGCCCACCCTGCAAACCGCCACACCTTGCTGCACCCTCAGCCTGGGGAGGGCACCGCCCACGGGAGGCACACGGCCCCCCATTTCAGGAGAGAGGCCCAGGTCTAAGGATAGGCCTGGGCTCAGGGGAGGGAGCGGCGTTTGTGGACCGATGGCTGAGCTGCGGGGCAGCCCGGGGAGGCGTGTGGACTCAGCACTCACTGCCCCTGCATGCTCGGGCCGCTGTACAGAACTGGGGTACAGTTGGGGTACAGGCCAGAGTGCAGGGGAGTGAGAGGACACACCAGAGACAGATTGGGGAGCAGACTGGCAGACGGACAAAGTATGCTGCTGAGGAGAGCAGCGGGGAGACAGGAGGGGTCTGCTGAGCCCAGTGGGTCAGCTCCAGGGCAGGGATCAAACTCGCATGACAGCAGCCACCACTTGGCTTAGCCACCACGACATGGGGCCACTGTTCTAGAGGCTAGTATGAGAGCATGGCCCTGCCCTGCCCGGAGGCAGGGGGCAGCTGGACCCAAGAAGCTGAGTCCGGTCACGCCAAACCGAGTCCCCATGGAACCAGAAAATGTCCCAAGGAAGACAGGCAAGTTTTCATAGGAAGAAAGGAGGAAAAGGATAAAAGAAGAACAAATCAGGGCCCTCCCTGGTGGCGCAGCGGGTTACAGCACAGCACTGAGAAGCTAAAGCCGCTTCCGCATGAGCTCGATCCCCGCCTGCCCCGGAGGTGACCACATGGCGCGGCAGACCTCTCCTGACCCGCCCGCTGCTCCCCTCAGCAGTGGACTTCTCGATATGCCTGTTCTGCTCCCCGCTCTGTCTCTGGTGAATCCTCTCACCCACAGCATCTCTGGCTTGTACCCCAGTTCTGTATTAGAAAATAACTAAATCTTTAAAAAAATATTTTTTTAATTAAAAAAAAAAAAGAACAAATCAGAATCTGTTCTAGCCTCTAATAAATGAACCAGGTGGACATGGCTGGCAGGACCCCTCACCACCTTCTGGAATATTCTCTCCTGAAATCACATGTTCAACCTGAGGAAGTTGAAGCTGCCTTGGAGATACAAATCATCCAAGCCACAGCATACAGCAGACACATGGGGCCCTGGACACAGGCAGAAATGAAAACGGTAGAATTTGGTTCAAGAGGAGGTGGGGGGACGTGGACACCCTGGGCAGGCTGCCGGCGTGGCTGGTGGGGGGCGGGGAGCAGCCCTGGGCCTGACCCTAGGAGGTCCTGTTAGTGTTCGCACTTTTACATTTTTGGGTTTTCGTGTCTGTGTGTCTCTGCAAGTCAGCTGAAGTTAGCACCCCAAGCCCTCCGGCGACACTGGCCTTTGGAGATGGCGACTGTGTGCTTTGAAACAAAGGCCTCGGTCCACTCACTCACCGAGGGCCTGCTGGGTACCAAGCTTCGGAGCATGTGTGTTTCTTCCCTGTTGCTTCTGATTTTCTTTCAAGTAAGCACCTGAACTGCCTCTTCCTCCCAGAGTGGAAGTGGCCTCTTCTAAACCTGCTTCTGCTGAAACTCTGGACCCCAGTGCAGACTCTCCAAGGCTGATGTGTAACATCTGTGCTTTGGGGGCGGGGGGAGGGCTGCTCTTGTTCCTGCTTATTATCACTCAGACTTTTTGTAGACATTCCCCACAGAAGACGCCCTGTGCTCGCCGCACGTCTTCCAAGACGCAGGCGCCAGGAGGAAATGAATGTGCAGGGACTTTATTAAACGCCAGTGACAGAGAGGGGGTAGCAGGTGGGGGGGGCATCCCAGCAGACCAGGATGCAGGTGTGACCCCAGCCGCAAGAAGGCTGTGGGGGGCTCAGATGGCTGGGTCACAGCCTCATTCCAGATTTCACACGTGAAGTTGTGTCCAGACACTTTCCCAAATGGCTGAACCACTTCGCACGCCACCGCACAGCCTCAGGCCCCTCCCCACACCCGGCTCCTGCAGCCACAGGCTCGGGCTCAGGGCTCCCGGAAGCAGGGTTCACACCGCAGCCCTCACCTGTCTCTGCCGCTCCCTTTCAGACCATCCTGGTGGGCGACAGCGGCGTGGGGAAGACGTCCCTGCTGGTCCAGTTCGACCAAGGCAAGTTCATCCCCGGCTCCTTCTCAGCCACCGTGGGCATCGGATTCACAGTAAGCACCCGCCGGCGCCGCGGCTGGGTCTCTGCCAGGGTCCCAGCAGGCACAGCGTCTTCGGGGAGGTTTCATGAAAACACCAGCTCCGGCTCCGAGGAGTAGGCAGGGGGTGGCATAGCGGGCGGGATGCTGGAGCAGGTCCCTGGATGGTTCCGGGGCCTCCACCCCACCCCACCCCCGGGCTGGGAAGGTGAGAGGAGGGGACTGTCCCCACCCAGGCTGAAGAGGGCTGGCCGGCGGGGCTGTGACTGGCATGGAGGAAGGAGCCACCTCCGTGGGCCTCTGGGAGAAGCCAGGGCAGTTAGCTGGCCCCTCCCCAGGGCTCTGCTCCTGCTCCCCCACCTCCTGCTGGGCTCCCCATTGGCTGAACAACCTAGAAGCTACAAAGCAAGGGGCTATGAGGACACAGAAGGCTCACCCCACCTTCCGGGGTGAGAGGCACCCAGAGAGGCAAAGGGAGGCACAGTCCGACCCTGTGCGCCACTCGGATGCACGGAGAGCGCCGGCAGGCCAAGGGCTTCCTCCAGCTGCCCCTTGACACAGTGCAGAGGGTCTGTGCAGATTAAGGGGGGTCTTCAAGCGTTCTCTACTCATTGCCCCCCTACTCACAGGGCAGAAAGCCCTCGTGTGCTCCCGGCCATCAGGCCTAAGGGGCAGGCTGGGACCCCAAACTCCTGGGAGAGCTTCGGAGAGGGGGCACCCCCCGGACTGTCCCCGTGCCCAGGTCGGGGAAGAGCAGATGGCTCTCCGCAGGTGGTGTGGGCGTTCTACAGACCAGCTCTGGGACCGAGCGCGCAGGGCCTGAGATGAGAGGCCACACTCAAGGCTGGACATGCTGCCAGGTGGCTGGGAAGACAGAGGGGAGCCCCCGGAAACTGGGCTTGCGGGGTCACAGTGAGGAAGTCAGAGCCCCAGATGGACAGAGCGTTAGAGAAGCAGAAGTGAGCTCGCCAGGGAGCGCACCCCGTCCTGGGGTCCGAGCTAGAGAGCCAGCCTGGGCTGCTGGGGGCCAGGGAGCGGCGGCCCAGTGCCGCAGGCAGAGCTGGACACGGGCCTCGTAAGCAAGGTCTTCTCCAAGCCCCTTCACACCAGCCACCAAGGCCTGCGGTTGGGGTTTCAGGGGTGCTGACCTCAATGGGGTCACCCAGCCAGCCCCTCTCCTACCCCTGTTCAGCTCTTCCTCATCACATCCTGCCCCCATGAACCCCAAATTCTCCAGTCTTACCTAAATACTGCCGCTAAGTCCACCCTCAGGAGACGCGCCCTGTTCACCCACACCCATACCTTCAGGGGCCCGTGGTCACCCCGAGTCTAAGCCCCTAGCTGGCAGGTCATTGCAACTTAAGCCCCTCGGGGCAAGTGCCAGTTTGCCTCATATAAACCTCCCGGGGGCGGTCAGCCTGAGGCGCACATTCTGCGGGACCCCGCAGCCTCGGACGCAGACACCCGCCACGCTGCAGGCTGCTTCCGGCCTGGCCTCCCCTGGCATCCCAACGCACCCCAGACCTGTCCCCTCCCTCTGGGGCTTTCTTCCAACCACCTCGAAGCCTCCCACCCGCTGGAGGTCAGGAGCCCCTTCCTGGTCTCTGAACAGCCTGAGGAGGGTATTGAACGTGGCAGAGGTGACCTGTGGTACAGGGGAGCGGGGTGTCTGTGAGGGTAGGTGGCTGTGCGCATTCTGGACCTGGGGGTGATGAGAGGTACTGTTATAGGACAGGGGGAGAGGGGCACCCCTGGAGCCCCAAACCTGCCTGCTCTAAGTGGGTTCTGCCATCCGCCGCAACAAGACAAAACATGTAAAACTTGAATGAAAAGGGACTTTGATACAGTGAATATACAACACGGAACACAGAGAATAGAACTTCTAAATCAAACACCTGAAGTGACCCGTCCCCTCGTGGGCAAAAGTCCACCCAGAAGGGATCGGCCCAAGGCAAGGCCCGAAAGCGGCCACAAGACTGAAGCAGCTTCTGGCCGGGACCCGTGGAAAAGGGTCAGACAGGGCCAGACGAGTCTGGGAGGAAAAGAGCAACATCAAAATCAATATAAACACGGCCACAGTCACCTCCCTACAGGTCTCTCACCCGCATCTGCCTAAACCAGTCCAGGGCCGGGAAACCAGCCCGGCTTCTCCATCCCATGCTCGCTGCTCCGTGCGGCTCCCTCAGGCCTCCTCCTTCTCCATCCTGCTTCATTTCCTTCTCTTCTCTCCTTTTGCTCTGCTCAGCTCCACCCTCCTCCTGGATGGGGCAGGGAACCCCTTTTGCTAGGGACCCCCCTGTTACAGTACTAGGGAGATTTAGGAGGTGCGTGCTGGGGTGTGTTCATGTTGATGGGGTGCCAGCTGTTTCTGTAACTGCTATGTGGGCAGAGGGCTCTGGGTATTGTTGGGGTGGGTGTGGTGGGGTCACGGAAGGCATCGTGTCGGGGGGGGTGGCCTTGGTGTTCCAGGAGTCACGTGTGTTCGTGGCATGACACAGGATGGTGTCCGGCACGATCGTAGAACCTGGGGCCATCTGAGGTGTCAGTGGGGTGTGGCCTGAGGAGCATGTGAGCTGTGTGTGGAGTGGGGCGTGTCTGTGGTGTGGGGGGTGTGATATGAGCTGTGTGTGGTGGAGGTGTGTATGTGATGTGGGGTGTGCCTGGGGGGCCGGTGGGCCGCCGCGTGCTCACCGCGTGGGCAGGATGTCAGGAAGGTGTCCTCCACTAGTTTCACAGCTGAAGAGCCACCTCTACTGGTGAGCTGTGCTTCCTCCCTCGGGGGACCTCCCTGCACCCCAGTGCTGAGCTCCCCTGGCCCTCTTCCAAGTCTGACTCACAGGGCCCACGGGCCACCACAGACCCAGAGGGCCGACAGCGCAGCACGGGGAGAGCCCAGGGCTGCATCTCTCCTGGCTCCTGGCCCGCCCTCGGGGCTCCCAGCAGCAGCCCTGCAGGCCGGACGCTTCCTCTTCTGTGACTTCTAGAATGTTCACATTCCTTTCCGGTCATACGGCAAGACAGACCGGGTCTTGGAGCCACAGGCCAGAAGCCCCCCCCACCCCAGCTTCAGCCTCGCGGCTGGGGCTGCCGGGCTCCCACTGGCCGGTCGCCATGGTCTCCCCCTCTTCTCACAAGGGCCTTGCATTAAGCCCCCGCCCCGGCCCCCACTGCTCTGCAAGAACCCTGCTTACAGAACGGGCCCCATTCTGGCCGCCTGTGGGCTGGGGGTTACCTACAGCAAAACCTCAGCAGGCAGCTGAGGAGCAGCAACCAGACTGTGCAGGGGCTGTGTGGGTGGGACTCCCCGTTTGAGGGCCCTGGGCCAGGTGAGGCGAGAGCCGCACCTCCAGGAGAGTGGCCGCCCTCA